CCTGTAACGCCGCAGCAATTTCTACCACCAACTGCTGCTTTCGTAAACTCCATTCCCTTGCCAACTTCTGTTCAACCACCAAACCAACATCCCAATGCCCAATCAATGCCACCACAGCCTGCTGCTGTGGGTGAAAAATTGCCTCCTTATCCTTTGTTCCCTCCTGGTCTTATTCCTGGAATGGTGAGAAAAATGCAGATTGGAAGTGGAGTCCCATACTCTCCCATGAGCCCTTTGGATATTCCAACTATTATTCCTCCACCCAATATATCTCCCTCTGAAGTTCTTGAGAAAGTGTCCAAGTTCTTCAAGGAGATTGGAGAGGTTAATCCCTCAGAAGGACCAATGAGCTCCGATTCCAAAGACGACGATTACGAATACGAGAGAGAACCAGCAGTACGTAAGGGTGGAGCTTGCATTCCTCCTCCTCCCAACCTTCATCAGGTTGACCCAGAGACAGGTGTGTATGCCGATGGAAGTGTAGATCGAAAAGGCATGGGAAGGTTAGGACTAGGGGCTACCGCCAATCCGAATGAGGATAGTCAATATGACGACGTTTATACTTCTTACAGGAAGCAAAGAAGTACGAATTACCACTCTTCTTTGAGTACTAGGGCCACAACAAAGTGAAAAGAAACTGTTCAGTTTATTACTAGGAGTAATCCTGTATAACATGCCAGCCCTTTTCTGTTTACAGAAGTTGCTGAATTTCAGATCGGAAATTTCACCGTTATTAGGTCATTATCATTGGGCAAGAATGTTCTTCTGAGCTGATTGACAGATATGCAACGAGAGTTGCTTTTTTAGATTGGTTTCTGTAGTATATTTGAATACACTTGGCTGACTCAATTATATTGCAAAATGTTCCTTAAAATAATTTGAATATCCTATTTTTTTTATAAATTAGTTTAGATAGAAGCAATGAATTCTAGGCATAATATTAAATTAAGATATTGATGGCTGTTGGTACTGGAAATATTAATCAATTTTTATAGGTATGTCTTTTTTTTTTTATGGATAAGTCAAAAAAAATGATAAATAACATTAATTATCGAAGATTTTAAAAATATATATCACATGTAGATGGGGTCCCTAACTTAAAATAACGAATCTATTGATAGATACAAACTATATCATAAGTTCGAGAGATTATTGTTGCATTTTTAACCTAATTTTGTCGTACCAAATCAACCATAAAAATAATTTATAATTTTAATATTTTAACTTTTATTTTTTTAGATTTGTATCTATTTGAAAATTTTTAAAATTTTTTTTAGTTGTTTAATTTTTTAATTTTCATATCCGGTATATTTTTGTAAAGTTGGTTTGTGTCAGTCTTATGAGTAAAAGCTTCCCAATACCTCAAAAACAATCTCACTCCAAGGCAAGTATATTTTTGTAAATTATTGATTATATATATATATATATTTTTTTTTTTTATTAAATTATAAAATTGATCTACTCCAAACAAAAAAAATTAAAATTTTATTTCTATGATTTCAAAAAAATTAAAAAAATATATAATTATATTGAGCTTCGAACATTCGGTTAAAAAAAACTAAATTACGAATTCTGAATGGTATTATGGGTAAAATTTGACTTAATTAAATATCTCAAATTGGTAAGATATTGTGCACGTTGTGTAAATATGCAATGTTACTATAGTAACAATTAATTTTGATCAACACAACATGTTAGTATTTATTGTTTTTAAAAGTCGTTAAAAAAATAAATAATTTAAAAATAATTATGAAATTAATAAAAATAAAATAAATATAAGTATAGTATCATATTAAATAATCAAATATAATTTTAGGTGAACCATGAAAAAACCAAATTTTTAGTAGTTAAATTTGCAATACAATTAAACTAAAAATTAATTCTTTTGACCTTTTATGTGGATTAAAGTGTAAATCTCATGAAGGGTATTTTTGTCCAATTACAATTTAAAAGAGAAGGGTCCCACTTCTCGCAAGATATCTGCTAATTGCCCTAAACAAGGCCACTCGTTTTGGGCAACCCTTATGTGATGAGAGTCATGTGGCCTTGTTGGGGACGTTCGTCTTCAATACGCCCCAAAAGCACGTGCTTTGTAGAACTACCATGTGCGTCATTTTTTCCTGCTAGCCCGATATTGCCCCCACCTTTTATTATTATTTACTAACTACAAATAAAATAAAAACTATTATTTATCATAAATAATATTTTGACTCGTTGAATTATGAATTAAGTATCATTTTAATTATTCATTTTCGTTCTTAAATCTCTCAATATATTTTTTAAAGATCTTTTTTCTATATTTTTTTAATATATAAAATTGCTTATTAAATACTCACGTTATGTACTCAAAATTATTATTAATTTGTTAGAAAATAAAATAAATGTAAATTTTAAAATAATTTATCTCATTGGTTAACCAATTAAAAATTTCACATGGGTGAGGGTCGGATTATTTATTTATTTATTATTATTATTAGAAAAAAAAATTATATTATCCATAATAAATATTATATTAATAACTAAAATCTCTTAATATTTTTAAAAGTACAATTAAGTTGAGTTGGGTCGAGTTATAACCTTATTTTCAGGTTGGTCGGGTTAACGAGACAAAAAAAAAATGGCAATCCACACACTAAATCAAATTATTGCTTTTAAAAAAAACTCATCTCAACTCAAACCGAAAAAATATCTAACTCACTTCTATTAGACGAACACGACTTTCCACAATGGTATGATATCGTTCACTTTGAGTATAAACTCTCGTGGCTTTGTTTTAGGCTTCCCAAAATGCCTCGGAGAGTGTATTCTTCGATAACCCATGATCATTCCCTAAATTAGCGATGTGGAACTTTCATCATCCAACACCTCTCCTCGAACAAAGTACATCTTCTCTTAATCGAGGCTCGACTCCTTTGGAGTCTTAGTCATTTTTTACTATGCCTTCGAGGAAGCTCGGCTCCTTTTCTTTTGGAGTCCTTTGTTCGACATTTGAAGATTTACAAATCTATTGGCACGACTAAGTTTAAGGCATGACTCTGATACCATGTTGAAGTTGTTGGATGACATGCGACTTTTATCATCCAACAACTTCAACATATATGGTTTGGTTGGACAGTCCTCGATCACATTATCGAGTTATATGGGTTGGATAGTCGTAGGTCGGGTAATGAATTATAATAATTTTTTTAATGTCGAGAAATTAAAATGAAAATTTTAAAAATATTTTAAACATTAAATTTGTAGGTGGTCACCTATTTGAAGAAATTATTTATATATTCACCCAAAAAAACACGAGGAAGAAACTTGTCGTGGCCTTAGTCACATGAACAAACGTATCAATCTCAGTTCCAAACAAAATTTATTTTTATTTTGAAAATAAATCATTTTCTTAAATCTTTATTGCCTCTTGAGGCCTATAGATGAATTCAATTATAAATTCATTTTGGAATTATTGTAAATTAAATTAAATAATTTATTTTTTAATTTAGATCTACCAACCATTTTATAAATATTTTAAATTTTTTTAAAATTATAATTTACTATTTCCAATAATTTTGAAAAATAATCTTTTGATAACCAATTTTATTTATTTTTATTTTTATTACTAAGAACACAGTTTAATTTATTTTATTAATATTTTATCACGTCGCTTTAAATAGCCTTAATAGGCAACGTATAGAAGGGCTGAGCTAAGGAAACGTTTATAAATTTTGTATGACTTTATTTGTTTCTGTAATAATTTCTTAGATCTTTGAATTTTCTACCTATAATAATTATGACGTGTCTTCTTCGCATAACAATAGTTACGATAAGATCTCATACACGTAGCTATAAATTTTTTTAATCATGGTATAATCTATATATATATACCAGTTTTAATTTTTTTAAAAAAAGTGAAAAGACAAAAAGACCCTTCATGGTTGCAAGCTAGATGTCGGTATGCTAACTGTAACCTATATTATAAAATATATCATAATTATTTTCGTACTTCAACATTTATAACTTACCATAGGAAAGAATATTCCTTAAGATTCTCTACGGTAACACAAATATTCTCTACGGTAACACAGTCACTTTCTAGGTCAAATAATTTTTAAACTCGACCAATTATTAAACATGAAATAAGAAATATAGAGATTTATCAAAAAAATTTAGGTTCGAGTTTTTTTTTTTTTTGTCCTTTTGGTCAGGTACATACGTAAGTTAAACTATGTTTAAATTGACATTATAAAATATCATCGGGTCGAAAATAGGAGTTTAATTTATTATTTAAGTTAAATTACAAATTTAGTTCATAATTTTGTATATTCGTGTAGCAGTTTAAACCCACTGTTAGTAGATATTGTCTGCTTTGACACGTTACGTATCACTGTCAACCTTACGATTTTAAGACTTATATGCTAGAGAGATGTTTCCACACCCTAATACAGAATGCTTCGTTTCATTCTCCAACCAATATGAGACCTCATAATCCACCTCCTTGGAGGCCCAGCGTTTTCGTTGGAACACCGCCTAGTGTCTGGATATGATACAATTTGTAACCATTCAAGCCTATTGTTAGCAGATATTTATTCGCCTTGACCCGTTACGTACTGCTGTAAATCTCACCGTTTTAAAACACGTCTGTCAGGGAGAGTTCTCCGCACCCTTATACATAAGGCTTCATTTTCTAGTTTAAGATAGCAATAAACTTAAAATTTAATTCTAAATATTTTAATTTTTATCTAATATTTTTGTTGGCTTTTAAACGTACAAAACAAATAAAATTTAAATTTAAATTATTATAATTTTTAAAATTTAAGAATCTAAAATTTCACCTTTCCGAGGTAAAATTAAAATTTTATGTATTTATTAAATGTTTTTAAATTTTTATAAAAAATATATATTTTTTAAGGTAGAAATTAATTAGACAAAAGTTGAGAGACCTTCTAATTTAACCTAATTTTTACACCAATGATTAAATATTTTGGGAGCGTGTGACGCGGGTAAATAAAGTGCGGTGGAAGAGAGAGAGAGAACAGAGTCGCCGCCATGATCCAATCCATCTGGACGATGGATGAACAAGCGAGGCCTTTCTTTTTGACAGTTGGGTTCTTCACGTTCCGTAAATCAGAGAACAAAAGAAGAAGAAGGTCGCGTGGAATTCGCTTTTGTTTCTCCCAATTTAATATGCTCAGCGATCCAATGATGATGCCTCTTCTCACTACACAGTCCTACCAATTCAACTGCCCAAAATTGGTCAATTCTTGACGAAATTTCGTCTTCTTTCGGTCAATTTTCTTCATCTTCTCCACTGTTTCGCTTAGCTAAGCAATACGTCTTCACTCAGAAAGAACTTTCGAGCTGTTAAAAAAAGGGCTCTCCCTGTTTCCATTACGTGACCATTACCCCACATGAAGCTGCAGATACCTTTCCTCATAATGTGGTTTTTTTCCCCATGTTGGTTTGTTTTAGAGCGCTCAATCGATTACTAAAGAGCTTCTCACTCTCTTGTTTTTGTTCTTCTTCTTCTCTGCTGCATTGATTTTGATTCTGTGTGTAATGGAATAGTCTTTGATTGAAGTTTTGTCTTGTGGGTTTTTTTGGGTTTTTGATTTTTTGAAATGGGTTTGAGTTGGAACTAATTTTCGTCGGCTGTGATCGTTTGATTCCTCTTTTTCGTTTTGGAAATCTGGGTTTGTTTGTTTGTTTTTGAAGTGTGTTTTGGAAATGGCACCGAGATTGGGGTTTTTGTGTTGGTGGGGAACGGAGAAGGACTCTCAAAAGGGAACTCCGGTGGTTGTGACGATGGAGAAACCCAACTTCTCCGTCGTGGAGATCGACGGTCCTGACGCCGCATTCCGGCCGGTGGAAAAAAGTAGAGGCAAAAATGCTAAACAAGTCACATGGGTTCTTCTTTTAAAGGCCAATCGAGCTGTCGGTTGCATTACTTGGCTTGTTACAGTCCTCTGGGCCTTATTGGGAACAATCAAGAAGAGGCTGATCTACAGGCAAGGAGTCGCCATTGAAGACGGGAAGTTGGGAAGAGGGAGGTTACTGTTTGGAGTAATTAGAGCTTTCTTAGTGACTTCCATGGCGATTCTTGCTTTTGAAATGCTTGCTTATTTCAGAGGCTGGCATTATTTTCAGAATCCTAATCTCCACATTCCTCAGGCTTCTGATTTGCAAGGATTGCTTCATTCACTCTATGTTGCTTGGTTAACTTTTAGAGCAGACTACATTGCTCCTCTCATTCAAACACTCTCTAAATTTTGCATTGTTTTGTTCCTTATCCAATCAGTGGATCGTATGATCCTTTGTTTTGGTTGCTTGTGGATAAAGTGCAAAAGAATTGAACCCAAGATTCAAGGGGATCCCTTCAGGTTGGATGATGTGGAGGGAGCTGGACACAAGTATCCAATGGTTCTTGTTCAAATTCCCATGTGCAACGAGCGCGAGGTACACTTTTCGATCTATTTACCCCGTTCTTTTCTATGTATGTGATGAATCTGAGTTAAGTATAGTTCATAATTGATTAGCTTTTAGGAGTTTTGATGATCTAGGAAAGAAGGGGAGTGTAGATATTTGAATAACTTAGGCATTAAACAGCCATTGAAAACAAGTTCTTGATGAGCAGTCTATCAAGATTATGTTAGATTCTGAATATAAATGGCTTTACGACGATTTCGTGCAGGTTTACGAGCAGTCTATCTCTGCAGTCTGTCAGATCGATTGGCCAAGGGACCGTTTACTAATTCAAGTTCTTGATGATTCTGATGATGAGAACATTCAAGTGCTAATTAAGGCAGAGGTTGCTAAATGGAGCCAAAAGGGAGTGAACATAATCTATCACCATCGATTAATAAGAACAGGATATAAAGCTGGGAATCTCAAGTCTGCAATGAGTTGTGACTATGTTAGAGACTATGAATTTGTAGCAATTTTTGATGCTGACTTTCAACCAAATCCAGATTTTCTTAAACTCACAGTTCCTCATTTCAAGGTGGAACAACGAAAACCCGAATGTTTTTTCCCCCCAGATCTTTGTCGATTGTAATTTTTGTTAATTTTCCTGTTTGTGTCATTTTCGTGTAGGATAACCCGGAGCTCGGTTTGGTTCAGGCCAGATGGTCTTTCGTGAACAAGGACGAAAACTTGCTGACACGTCTTCAGAACATTAACTTGTGTTTCCATTTTGAGGTAGAACAGCAGGTTAATGGAGTGTTTCTTAATTTCTTCGGTTTCAATGGCACTGCTGGTGTTTGGAGAATTAAAGCCCTCGAGGAGTCCGGAGGATGGCTCGAAAGAACAACAGTAGAGGATATGGATATAGCTGTGAGAGCCCATCTTAACGGCTGGAAATTTGTATTTCTAAACGACGTTAAGGTAACCGAATCTGTCACTTCGTTAACTTGAAGAAACTATGATGTCAGCTTGACTTGTCTAAGTATCCATCCTGTTGGATAACAACTCGAACATAACTTCACTGTTGAATGTGTGTGTTTTCATTTAATCTAAACCTTTAAAACTTTTCAACGTAAAATTCAGGTTCTTTGTGAAGTTCCCGAGTCGTATGAAGCATATAGGAAGCAGCAACATCGTTGGCATTCCGGTCCTATGCAACTATTTAGGTTGTGTCTTCCAGCAATCATAAGTTCTAAGGTATTGTCTCGTGTTCGGATTCTGTTATTTAAGCTATTAGCTGCCTCGCCGTTGCGTTACACCGAAGAGATGATCCTCATATCTTTTTATAATACAGATAGCAGCATGGAAAAAGGCAAATTTGATACTGATTTTCTTTCTATTAAGGAAGCTCATCCTTCCCTTCTATTCCTTCACGTTGTTCTGCATAATTCTTCCTCTAACCATGTTCGTACCCGAAGCCGAGCTTCCTCTATGGGTAGTCTGCTACGTGCCCGTCTTCATGTCCTTACTCAACATCCTTCCATCCCCAAAATCTTTTCCTTTTATCATCCCCTACCTTCTTTTCGAGAACACTATGTCTGTCACCAAATTCAATGCCATGGTATCTGGCTTATTCCAGCTCGGTAGCTCTTATGAGTGGATTGTGACTAAAAAAGCTGGCCGGTCCTCTGAATCCGACTTACTGGCTACTGCTGAAAGGGACTCGAAGGTAATGAATCAAGCGCTGATCTATAGAGGCGCTTCTGAGAGCGAGCTTTCTGAGTTGAGCCACTTAAAGGAATGCGAAAAAGTAGCCGCTGCACCTGTCAAAAAAGTTAACAAGATATATCGGAAAGAGCTAGCGCTCGCGTTTCTTTTACTTTTAGCTTCACTCAGGAGTCTCTTGGCTGCACAAGGAGTCCACTTCTACTTCTTGATGTTCCAAGGTGTGACCTTCCTCCTTGTAGGCCTTGATCTAATTGGAGAGCAAATGAGCTAACCACACACCAATGGATCAAGGTGGATAAACACCATTTTCTTGTGCTGTAGCAGCAAGTTCTGTTCGTGCAGTATAATTCGTCCCACGGAGGAATCAGTACTCAACAATGCTGAATCCGACCTCAAATTCAATAACACAGTCGATATCGAAGTTCTTCGTCATACTCATACATCATCTGTTATTGTAATCATTCATAAGCTTTTTCCAGCAGTTTAGTGTTTATTATGCAAATAAGTTCTACAGCCTCCATTGATTTTTTCTTGTGTGTAGTTCTGGCTTTTCGAAGACCTCATCATGCACCGGACCCGAATCGAGCTGCCGTTGTTGTAGCTTTCTGGTTTTCGGAACATGTAAGACATCAACTTCTCTGTAAATGTACTGTTTATCCAATCTAATTTATATATCATATCTTGTTTTCTTCCACAATTTACTTGTGCTGCAAAGTAGAAAGGTAGTGTCGGCAGGCAAAGTAGATTAGAAAATGGTTGAATGCTTTGGGTGGCTTAGATTGTTGGTTCAGATACCTTTTCAATCCTTATTAGAAGAAGGGTTTGGGGGGCCAGGATCTGTTGTGGGCATATGCTGATTCCTTGTTTCTTTTTTGGTTGTGTTTGTGGATAGTGGTGGCTACTGCTATTGCCACCGGTTGGTGGCATGATTTAATGATAAATTTGGCCATTCTTTTCTTGACCGGTCATGTATGGCCCTTTTTTATTAAAGCTTTGTCTTTAGCTTCGTCAACCTCTATCGATCATAAAGCTATGATTTGGCGAAATGTGGCATGACCCACGTCTCTTGCACGTTTTCAAGTTGGCCAACTTGGACATAGTCTGGATTTTCATGGTGAGAAGTTTTGGTTTTCAGTAGGCCAGGTTTTAGCTTTCTCTAAGATTATCTCTCTTTCTAAGATATGGGTATAAAATGCTAACTAGGGAAATGCTCTTACGTTGAACTTGGTGACGATAGAGGAACCAACCCGCCTGCTGTGGCGGGGCGGCTTTTTTCCCTACCCGTGGTTGAACTCCTCTAGGCTCTGCTTTGTGGTGTGAAACTGTCTCGTAGTAACGTTTTAGTATTCTAGAAGCATTCTTGACTAGCTAAAGAATGCTTTTGTGAGATCCCACATTGGTTGAGGAGGGGACCGAAGCATTCCTTATAAGGGTGTGGAAACCTCTCTCTAACAGACGTGTTTTAAAACTGTGAGACGACGGCGATGCGTAACGGGCCAAAGTGGTTAATATTTGCTAGTGGGGGACTTGGGCTGTTACGGCTTCTCGACCTCTTTGCTTATGTTCTTGACATCTTTCATGAAGTTTATGTTCTTGACATCTTTCATGAAGTAATGAAATAGTTTAGATTTGACATTCTTCGTATATGAAAAATCTATTTACATTTTTCCATTGTGTGCCTCGTAAAAGAAACTCGCCCTTTTACAATATCTACTAGCAGTGGACTTAGACTGTTACAACCTCGAGCTTTAAAAAAACAATATTTACTTTAGACGCAAAACACCCGTTAAGAACTCGCTAACGAGCATGTTCTTGGTTTCTTTAGCTGATGGAATTACAGTGAAAAGTGTTTGAGAACGGCAATTGCTTGAGTTCAAACAAAGTAGAAAGAAATGAAAGAATGAAAGGTAATGATAATAATATACAAGTGAGATTCTTATTATAGTACAGCTTTTCAACAAGTTAATCATCTGGTTCTTCAGAAAAGTCTGGCTCGTCAGGCTTTCGCAGCTTCATTAAGTTAACATCCTTAAGCTTTTGTGCTCCTCTACGTGTGTTTGCAGCAAACCTCGACGCCAATATCGTGACGCCGAGGTTTTGTTTTGCTTGAGAATAATTAGATCGTGGATTATGTTCTTCCTCTTCTAGCTCGGCTTCATCGGCCATTGGCTTTTTGGGATTCAACGAAAAAGACTCCTGAATACTGAGCGTCTTTGCTATGATTCTCCTCTTGAACCGACGCCATGCTGCTTGAATGAAGCAAGCAGCCCATGTTCTCCAGTGGTAAGAGTAAAACCGAAACGTGTGTTGAAGCTTCTTGCTATGGAGACGTCGAAACTGGTTCGCTACGAATTTGAGATCCTCGGCTCGTAGAGCAAAGGCTTCTACTTCAGTGATTGCTCTAACTGTTCTAGTAGAAGATGGCAAGCTGATTGATGATTTTGGTAGCAATGCCCAAGCGAGAAGCTCTTCTCCACAAAAATCTCCAGGTCTCAATGTTATTGAATTGAAGAAACCTGATCTTCCTCCATCTGTCGTGGAACTCTCGAGCATTCCTCGGATGATGAAGAACATCTCGGTAACAGGATCTCCTTCACGAACAATGAACGTGCCTTGCGTACATAAAGACGACGCTAATCGCTCACAGATCGCGTCGAGAAGCTGATCATCCATTTGTGCAAAGAAAGGAACCTGAAATTTTGGAAAACAAGAGGTTTAAGTCCTTGAATTTTAGTTCGTAACAACTCAAAGAAAAACTTACACGTCGAACAAGGTCGAGGCACAAGTGACGCTGAATATCTCGACGAAGATCGGTTGGAAGGGCTTGTAAGATGGATTCTTCGTCAACACCTCGCGTTGCAAGCCACTTATACTGAACAAATCTCCGCACACGTTCTTGTAAATCTTCGGGGAGCTGCCGATGATTCATCCACTCCTCTGTGTCTCGCCGCTTCACCCGCCACTCCTCCAGTCTCACGGTGATGGATTGCAAATAAGTCTGCACTAGTTTTATGAAGTTATGAGGAACAAGCAAAGATAAAATTATCACTTTTCAAGAACATTGATGGGTTTCTTCCTTTACCTGCATATTACCAATCAAATGAGCAAACAAGACCAAACCCATTATAGCAATGAGGATAGCAAACGAAGTTTCTCCTATGAAGGTGCTTGTCTCCAAACCCTGACCATAGGAACTGAGAAATTCATGAACGAAACACGTTAAAACGTCGAGAAGAGAGCATTCCGAGAAGCAAAGCCACAGTTTCCTACAAATATACCTCAAGTTCTGTAAGCCCCACCAAAGACAGTAGAAGTACTTTTGAGCGAACCCAAACGAGATGACGTTTTTCGAGATTGCATTGGCAAATATCCCGTAATTGAAAACGACATCTTCATCGGGAGAACATTGGGTAAATACTGTTGTGTTTACTTCCCATATCCTACGGTTGACATCATTTAAAGTACCACAATCGAGATAGTCGAGATGGCATTTCGTAGGACTGAATTCCCTTCTGCAGGTGAACTTCCAGCACATGGCATGGCGCTCCACAGACAGCAAGTACCATGCTGCTCCTAAGATCTATATGAACAAGAACAAACTTGAAACAGGTTGGCTTTGAAGTAAAGATTTAGAATGTAAAAACGAGGATCGCTCGGGTTCGTTACGTACATGACTAGCTAGCATATACAATACAAGGTTATAAGCAGCTCCTGCCCAAGCAGTCTTTGTGACAACACCAGTAGTTTTGATAATGTGGGAACTCAATGGGAAGATCAGGTAGAACCTTGGAATGTACTGAAGCAGAACTATTAACACAAGAGTATTGTTTGTATGGTCTGCATGAGAGCTTCTAATTGCTGGCATTATAAACCATATCATAATCTGTCAACACAAGTTTTAGTTGGACTTAGTTGATATACAAAAAGAAAATATTTGTAACAGCTCAAGCCTACCGCTAGCAAATGTTGTCCACTCTGAGTTTTCCCTTTTAGGTTTTCCCTCAAAGTTTAAAATGCGTATACGAGGGAGAGGTTTCTACATCTTTACAAAGAATGCTTTGTTCTCCTCTTCAACTGATGTGAGATCTCACAATCCACCCCTTCAGGGCCTAGCGTTCTCGCTGGCACTCTGCCTCGTGTCCACCTCCCTTCGGGACCCAGCGTCATCGTTAGCACACCACCCCGTGTCTGGCTCTAATACCATTTGTAACAGCCCAAGCCAACCGCTAGCAGATATTGTCCTCTTTAGGCTTTCCCTTTCGAGTTTCCCCTCAAGGTTTTTAAAGTGCATATGTTAGGGAGAGGTTTTCACACCCTTATAAGAATGTTTCGTTCCCCTCTCCAACCGATGTGGGATCTCACAATCCATCCCCTTCGGGGCCTAGCGTTCTCGCTGACATACCGTCAAACGCCCACCCTCCTTAAGGGCCCAACATCCTCGCTGGCACACCGTCCGGGGTCTAGCCGAAATTGTTCTCTTTGGGCTTTCCCTTTCGAGTTTCCCTCAAGGTTTTTATTAAAACGCGGCGTCTACTAGGGAGAGGTTTCCACACCCTTATAAAGAATGCTTCGTTCCCCTCTCCTCTCCAACCGACGCGGAATCTCACAATATTTCAATATTGCTTCGAATGCAACAGCTCACAAACAAATCTAGGCCTAAACTTTCAAGGATTCTTAATCCTGTTCTTTTATGGCTCATAAAAGCAGGAAAACATGATCAAAATAAGTATGAAATGACTCTAAACTTCAAAGCTAAGATTTCAAACATGAAGTTAGTAAGAACACAAACCAACGACATGAAGCAAATACCTGAGGAAGAGGCAGAGAAGCAATCAGATCTATACAGAAATCAGACGTCAAGTAACGTTTAGCAATCTTCTTTGGATCAGTAACAAGTTCACCTTTCCCAAAAACTCTCGAAGTAGGTGAAACATAAGCCATCCGGAACTTCAAAACCATATGAAAAAGATAGAACACATCGGCAAAAGTGCGAAAAACAGTCACAGCAATTCCCAAATTGAAATCAGTAGTCATACAAGACGATCTATTATGGTGAATCACTGAAGGAAGGTAGAAGAAAAGAGGATCAACGAAAAGAGCTGTCAAACAAGAGAACAGAAAAACCCTATTCCATCTCAGAATCGTTTCACTTTCAGGGTTAAGAATCCACTTCCGTTGTGCCTCATTATTCTCCACAAAAATCTTGAATCTCCCTAAATCTGAACTAATTTTACCTTTATCCCCAATCGCATTCGTTAATGGAGCAGTCCCCATTTTGAAAAATGGTAATGCGAACTCAAAACGCCTCTTACCATCGTTTTTCTCCCATGGAAGCTCAAGATTCTTCTTCTCATTGGAGTAAAACCTAAAGAAACGCAAATCAATCAAGCAAAACGATGAACAAATGAAGAAGAAAACGAGAGAATTGGAAGAATCTGTCAATACCTCACGAATTTCCCTTTCTTCAATTCCATGCTTGTTTTGTTCGTTCTCGTTCGTTCATTCAGTCAAATGGATTCATGATCCGGCTCGATTTCAGCATCTGAAAGTGGAGAAAACAAAAGAATCCCCCAAAATTTGAAGTGGGTTTTAAAGAATCTTGAAGAAGAAGCAAAGTGAGAGAGAATGAATGAGCACCAGAAACGTTCTGCAGTGCACATTACCAAATAACGGAAAGATTCTTCACATTGTATTGAGGGAAAAGAGAGAGAGGATCCCGCAATGAACGCGCCCAAATGGTGGCGAAATAATGATGGGGGGATTGTCTTTTGCGGTTGACTTCGCACTAAAAAAGCTGGCAGAACAAAAAAAAAACGCTACAAACTATGAGTTAAATGGAAGAACTAACAGCTCAGATTTTGGGGTCAGTTTTTTTTATTAACGATGAACTGGGTATTAAATATTTTGATTGATCTGATCTGGTTTGAGCTCCATTTTTTGTGCTTGTTTCTGGGTCCGAAACGAAATTGATAAACAGGGCTTTGAGGAACGTGATGAGCATAAAGATGATGGCAGCGAGAGATGACAGAGATTTGGGTTGAAATTGAATCCATTGATTGCCAGCTACAAATTTTTTTCTCTATTGGGATGCAAGACTTCAGTTGCAGGCGGGAAGAAAGGTTTTTTTTTTTTTTTTTTTTTTT